GGCAGATGAGCACGATCAGTTCCAGACCTGTGCTTGGCATCTGCTAAGTTGTTACCTGGTTTTCTTTCACTGCCCTTCCCAGCACCTCCCACCTTTCTAGGCGCTCACTGCTTTGGGTGGTAGGCAGGAGGTCTGCAGAGGCAGATCCATCTACCCATGACTCCTGGGCTTGGAAACTGCTTGTGGGCAGCGTGGTCTGAGCCTGGACATCCTGCAATCTGGGGATGTTTCTAGTCTCGATAAGTCCCTGCAAGAAACTCTTGGATGCTCAAGAGCTGTGCTTTCACAACCAAAGTGAGAGTTGCAACCTCCATCGGGAGGAGTGGCCCTTTCACCAGATGATATACATCTCAGAGAGGGAGAAAGAGGAGAGGGTAGGCGGTGAGTAGGAAAAGAGATATCACTGCAGGTGGCTGTTGAGTAGTCCTGTGATATGGCGAGCAGAAGACGCCCAAGGAATTGTCCTGACATGAGCTGCCCTGAGTTGCCCCAAAGAGTTCACACCAGGCACTGTTGTCCTTTAAAGCAGGTTTGATACACTGAGGATTTCCCAAGTCAGGAGCTCTCCAGGCAGAGGGTTGTGTCTCACTGGTAAAACCCTTGCCAAGGAGATCCCTTGGTGACGTTAGCCTATGACGTTTGTCAGCAGAGAAGGAGGAAGGAGCCCTCAGGCCCAGGGGTCATTTCAGGGATGGCTCCTCTGGGCAGAGCTCAGCATCACCAACTTCAGCTCAGCATCAGAGAACTTTGGAGATGCATCTTTCAGGGATATCAGAGGAAGGAGCAAAACTGACTCCAGTGCTGTGTGAACTGCTCATGTTCCACGTGTTTTGGGTACCAGCCTATGGATGTCCACCCGAGCTCACAGGCCCGGCTTCAACCAAGCTCACATTGGCTCCTGTGGCCCTTTTGGGTCCCAGAAGGTTTGGCTCCTGTTATGTACTTGAGTTTTCTCTGAGCTTCTCAGCTCCCTGGGTGGAGGCTCAGAAAGAGGATGGGATGCTGAGATAGCTCCAGAACTCCAGGCTGAAGCATCCAGTCCCTCGAGTCCTGGGAGTTTCGTGCGTCACTGCTGGTGAAATCCCCACCCAGGAGGGCTGGGAGAGGCAGGGATCATCCTAAACAAAAACAAGGCGCCGGCTGGGCTGCCAGCATTGCAAAAGGACATCTCACCTGCCTCGTCCTCCTCAGCGGCGCAGGCAGGGAGAACCTCACTGCGGGGTGGCTCAGGCTGCTGGGGCTGCTGACAAGCACCTTGCTGGGCTCGGGGACCACAGATCCACACCAGCTCTCCTGCTGTGACACCACCACAGTCCCAGTCCAATGACATCACCCCTTCTAATCCCCATGTCAGAGCTCTTGGTGGGGAAAGCACAGAGCAGGCTGGGCTGCAGTGTCCCTCTGGATGCTGGCCCGAAGTCCTAGGGCAGGAGCACGTGGATGTGGGGGGGATGGTGCACCACACTGGGGTGCAGCACCTTGGTCAAGAGGGACAGACAGGCACAGGGAGAGGGGACAATAGTGAGGGGCTGCAGTAGGGACCACAGCTCCATCTGGGATGAGTTGCACATGCTCCTCTTCCTTGCCGGGGACATGGCAAGCAGAGCCCGGGGAGGCAGGGGAGGTGTCACTGCCGTGCCCCTCTGCCCAGGGAACTTGAATTCGGCACCAGCCTCGCCGCCTCTCCTGCTGAGGGGGTCGGAGCGGGGCCGTGCTCGCCTGGCCGCGCTCACGCGAGCCGAACAGGGCACAGCGCTGCCCGGGCAGGGGCTGATTCACACGGGGCGCCGGGGGCCGGGTGCCGTGGGAAAGCGCGCCCGCCAGGGCTCCCGAGCGCCGGGATTGCTTCAGCGGGGGTGCAGCCAAGACCCATTTCACAGAGGGCAGAACAGATCTCGGCTGGGATTTACCAGTGACTAAGCATGTGCTGGCACGGGCTGCCCCAGCGTGAGAAAGGCAGGGCTGCTCCTCCTCCGAGGTGTGCCTGCTGCTGCTGCCCCGGGAGCACCGCCCCGGGGGCACCGGGCACCCTGCTGTGCCACAGGGCCACTGGTGTCAGTGGACCGGGCAGCGTTCTGAGTTCGGGGGGGGCTGCAGCACCCCAGCCTCCTCGTCCCAAGCTGGACTCAGCCCTTGCTTTGCCCATGGCCCAGCACCTACACTGGCCATATGGCCAGGCAGGATGGTGTGAGCAGAGCATTTGGTGTTCAGCCTGCTCAGCACATCGTCCCCAGGGCAGGGCTGGGGCATGGGCAGAAGCTGCCACCCCCACCCTAAGCCAGGCATAGGGGCTCTGTCAGGTCATGGCCCTTGCTCACAGCAATTGCATCCTCAGGCAGTGTTCTGAGGTGCCACCAGCTCCTGCTGACTCACCTTAAGAAGATTTTTGGAGGCCACAACTAATCCTGCCATGGGAGATGTGTGGAAACCAAACCTTCCTGAGGAGGAACAGCCATCTCTTCCCCACAGAGAGGCTCCCCACCTCCCTACCCTGAAAACAAAAGATACGCACAAAAAACTTGCTCCAGGTCCCCAGGTCGTGACACGGAGACACAGAAGGCTGTGGGGAACTGTGTCCCTAGGTAGGAGCCAGGCATCAAGCCTGATGCCACCACTGGTCCCTGCAAGGCCAGGCGGGGAGATGAGAAGAGGAGCTCAGCCCAGCCTATGGAGATGGCAGACTGCCCCACTCACTTCATCTTTTTTGGCTCATTTTGGCAAGGCATTAAAAAAAATTAACTGCAATTTTTTTATTACAGCTAATTGGTATTGCTGCTAAGTGGCTTATCTGTCTCCTGAGCTCACTCCATGTTTTTGGGAAGCTGAGGACGGTGAAGGCCCAGAGGCTGGGAGATGGTGTGGGGCTGGAGCCTGGCAGCGAGGGCCTGGCAGCCCTGGCGGGGGGGGAATGCCAGGCTACCCCTAGGCTGCCAGGCGTCTCTGGCCCAGGAGGTGGGCTGCCCCTAGTTCACAACAGTAATGAATTTTAGAGAAGCAGAGAAATTTGTCTGAGATCACTGTGCACCCAAGTGTGAGCCAGGAGCCCGTGCCTGGTATGCTGGCACTGCTGCTCAAATGCCTGACAGGCTCCAAGCTGCCAGGGTTGGACATCCTGGGGGATTTGGTGTGTGTGACAGAGGGCAGAGGAGCCCCTGCATGTCCTTGCCAGGCAGGGAGGGCTGGGGAGGAGGGTGCTGTTTGCCCTTGGGCCCCTGCTGTACCATCCTGGCCGGCAGCTCCATGGCCAGGTGGTTTGGTAGGTCTCTGAGAGCTTCTCACTCCCCAGTGCTGCCACCATGCCGAGGATGTGCTATCCCACACCTCTCCAGGCTCAATACCCCTCTCTGGCATGCAGCCCCCTCCCCACTGTCACTATCATGGCCAGTGAGGCCATGACATGACCCCAGGAGCTGCCCGCCACCTCTGCCTGCCTGCTGCAATCCCACAGGTCCCTGTGAGCCACACAAGGGTTTGGGTGCCTGTCAGGGGGTGACACCATGGCTCCAGGTCCAGCCCGTGCAAGCTGGGATGTCCTCAAGCCTCAAAGGGACCACCTGTCCTGCAGAACCAGCACTGACTCCACCACTGAAGGTGACAGGGACTGGAACAAGACTCTGGTGGCAGCATCATTAGGGTCTGTCCCATGGTTGTAGGTGACAACTGTCCTAAAAGGAGTCCATCTCTCTCTTTCCCTGCTCATCCTTGGATCTCTCTGTGCTCCTCTTCCCTATTTCTGAGCCATCTTTCAGGATGGGTCTGGCCCAGCTGATGATTTGCTGGGCTGGAGCAGCAGGATCCTGGGGACCCAAGCCAGGCATGCTTCATGGCCAAAAGGATGCGGAGCGTGTGCTGGTTTTGTGGAGGCTGCCAGTGGGAATCACCTCCTGATGCAGGGCAGAGCTGGGATATGGTGGCGAGTTTGTTTCCAAACAAAACATCTTGCCCCCGTTGTCCTGCAGGCAGCTGTGTGGGACCAGGGGCATCACTGCCCCGCGCACTGAAGCCGGTGCTGCTCCAGCTTCGAATCACCAGAGCCGCCGCCAGCCCGTGCCGGGGCCCGCTTGGGAGCTGGAAAAACCTTTCTGGTTTCAACAGGCTCTGGAGCAAAGCCCCAGGCAGGGAACTGATTTGTTCTGGTCAGCAAAGCTGTGCACCTCTCTCCTGGCTTGCCTTGAGTGCAGCTTGCTGTGAATGCTCTGCCAGCAAAAAACAACCCCTAAAAACAAACAGCTGATGAAAGGAGTTGTGGCACATCCCAGCATCCAGCTCCTGGCCCAGTAGGGATGGAAGAGGAGAGGGAAAGTGTCGGGGAGCTGACTGCGATGCTCCCAGGGAGATTTAGCTGATCACTCTGGGTGAGTGTGTTCGGCTGCACCCTGTGCTCAGCCCAAGGCACTGTCTGTGGGTGCTCCTCAGCAGTGGGATTTGGAGAGCTCCTTGGAGTCCAGGACCCAGCACGTCAAGGCACTCAGAGACCTCTCTGGGTACCTTTTGGCAAACTAAAGGTGGGGTAGAAAATGTGACTCAGTACTCACAGTGCTGCAGCAGAGCCAGGCTGAGCCCAGCATGGAGCCAGCCAAGAGTCCAGTGTGTCTCAGGGTCCACAGCCATCCTCCCCATCTTCTGTTGGACAAGTGAGAACAAATCTTGAAGCCACAGCCCAGACTTATGAGTGTCTGCTTGATGCTTTAAGGCAGCCTCAATTGATGGTGTTATCTGGCCAGGGAGTAAGAGTGGGCAGCAGTACTCTCTGCCTGGCACGGAGACGTGGCTGAGCACCAGGTGGAGTGGCTCTGGAGAGGAGGTTCCTGGGGCTTGTGCCTGGTGCCCTCTCTGTGCTCAGCGGGATAGGCCTTGCCCTGGTTTCCCCTGTAGAATGCGATGGCAGCTGCCCAACCTGTGCTGGGGATGCCCAGTGTGGATTTGTGCTCCAGGCAGGCAGGAGGTGCCTGGGGAGCACAGTTGCCATCTCACTGATCTCCACCTCTCTCTTCTCTCAGGTGTGCAACTGCGACAAGTATCTGAAGGTGCCCCGGGAGAGGATGAGGCAGCTGGTGGAGGGCAGCAGGCAGGTGTCGCAGGAGCCCAGTGCAGGTAAACTGGGAGTGATGGTCTGACCCCAACCCCCTCCCCGTGCCCTTGCCTGGGACTCACTGCCCTGGGCAGAGCAGAACCATTCCCCTGGGGCTGGAGGTTTCTCAGAGGGCAATCAGGTCCCCTGCCACCAACCTGCCACTGAGTGCAGGCCCGCAGAGCTCTTCCAAGTCTGGTTCATGTCTCTACCCTTGCGGCCCTGTCCTGCCCCTTGAGGCACGGGGTCGTGCATAGGATTGCTCAACCTGGGGGGGTTGGTGACATGCAACAGTGGTTCAAGTGACAGCCTGAGGCCATCGCTACCTGAGCGTGTAAAACTCAGCCTGGGTAGTGAAATGCCTCCTGGCTGGGGCTGCTCAGGTGCCTTCCTCACCTGCCCAGTGCCTCTTAAACTAGGTCAGGCTGCAGGGAGGTGAGTCAGTGCTGCCCGCCCAGCCAGGCTCCAGTGGGCTCTGGGGAGGGAAGGCTCCTCCATGCGTGCCCTGAGCTGTGCTGACCCACACACACTGCTTCCCAGAGGGAGACACATTTTGGTGGCAAATGACACCCACCCCAGGCACACCGGAATGGGAACATGCCCCTGTTGCTGCTTCAACCCAGCCTGGGCTCTGCCACCAGCCATTGTGTGCAACCCTTGCCATGCTTCAGTTTGCCCATCTGTTGACAGCAGAGAGCAGTGGGAAGCAGTGGCTGCCGGGCACTCCTGGCCAGCTGTGGCTTTGCTGGAAGCTGCATGTGTGGCTCTGAGGGTGAGGGACGCGGTGGGGCAGCTTTTCTCATGGTGCCAGCAGCCTGGGAGTGCTGCGCCTCCCCAGAGGCTGGGACATCCTCCATGGTGGTTTCTCTGGTGAGGGCTCTCACTGTGTGTGTACCCAGAGACCAGCTGGGCCAGTTCAGCCAGTTTTAGAGTATGGGAAATAGAAATGCTGTGGTTTGTGTTCAGCGTGTGAGTCGTTTCCCCTTCCCCATTCTGGATGGGGATGATGGAGCTGGGATAGTCTCACACAGCACTGTGGCTCCTCCACGAAGACTCTTCAGGGACCACCTTGCTCTAACCTTTATACCCCCTCTGCAACACTCCATGTCCACATCAGGCCATGCAGCCTCTTGCTGGGTCCTCGTGTCCCTGGGGGAGCCTCATGAGGAAAGACCAGGTGGGACCCCTGTGCTGGCCATGTCCGACATGACCTTATCAGGGAGCATCCACCACCCTGGAGCAGTCAGGGACAGGGACAGAAGGTGCCACAGCATCCCCAGAAGGTTGGTGGAGACATAAAATAGAAGCCATGATTCCTGGGCAGGTGGGCACAGTGAAGCAGTGGCACCCACCGAAAGTGAAAACCCCTGGGGGCTTGCCAACAGGGTCTGCTGTGCCCTGGGGCTCTTGCCACTCAGGGGTTTCCATTTCTATTTGGATTTTGCTCAGAGCTGCTGGGATGGTGAGCGTCAGTGTGAGCTTGACTAGGTTGTCCCCAAATGTCCCACTTTGGGTCAACTTTTGTGAAAGAGAAGGCTGTGCTGACAATGTCCTGCTATCACATGGTAGGGACAGTGGTGGCAGTGGGACAGCCTGGGCAGCCACAGAAGACCATGAGGAAAATCTCAGTTCCCTGATTTACTTTACATTTTCCTTCTGGAGGGGTTGGTGGCAGGGACCTGCTCTGCCCCCAGTTGTGGCTCAACACATGGCGTGGGGAGTTCAGCACCCACAGTCCACATCAGAACTGGCCCCTGTCCCCTGACTCCAGCCTAGGCCATGTCATCTCCATCATGTCACTGAATATGGATTAACCCCCAGATCATGGCCAGGTACTGCTGCTTGAAAGGTAAGAAAATGCCTTTTCCCTGCTCCTGCTTCCAGGCAAAAAGGGATCCTCCTCTCATGGGGAGGAGCCTATGAGTCGGATGGGTGATGGGGACGGATCCACCCCCTTGCCATCTATGGGCGGATGGGTGATGGGGATGGATCCTGCAGGACCACCTCTCAACACAATCCTAAGGCTAGCCCAGATGCTCCAGAGTCCTGGGGTCCATCTGCAGCCAACCTCAGGCCAGTGCTGCTCAGTTAGGCTCCTGGATTTTTATAACAGGGCCCTTCCAAATGAGGAAGGGCCAATTATTCATCCTGTAATAGCAGCAGTTTAATTCCCTAGGCAGCCTCATCTCCTCGGATGGTAAGATTGACGGAGAGATAGACAACAGGATAGCAAAGGCATACAGTGCTTTTGGAAAACTCCACAAAAGAGTATGGCGTAATAAACACTTGAAGAAAAGCACCAAGATCAGTGTTTACAAAGCCATAGTGTTGTCCACTCTCTTATATGGTTCCGAATCATGGGTCATCTATCACCACCACCTGCGTCTCCTAGAGCGCTTCCATCAACGCTGCCTCCGTTCAATCTTAAACATCCACTGGTCAGATTATGTGACCAACACATCTGTTCTAGAGCAAGCAGCAGTCACAAGTATAGAAGCCATGTTGCTGAGAACGCAGCTGCGATGGGCAGGGCACGTCTCAAGGATGAAGGACCACCGCCTCCCTAAGATCCTGCTCTATGGTGAACTTGCCACTGGCTGCCGCATGAGAGGAGCCCCGAAGAAAAGATACAAGGACTCTCTGAAACAACATCTCAGCCTTGGCCATATTGATCATCATAACTGGTCTACTCTGGCCTCCAGGCGGGAGGCCTGGAGACACACCATCTATAACGCAGCTGTCTCCTTCGAGAACACACGCAGGATCACTCTCGAGGAAAAAAGGCAACGCAGAAAGAACCGTGTTCTGCAGAATACACCATCTAAGGAGTCTTTCTGCTGTGCCTTTTGCAACCGGATATGTCTGTCACGTATTGGCCTCATAAGCCACCAACGTGCCTGTAGCAAATGTGGATAGAGCCTTCCCAAATCTTCGTTCACGAAGCCCAGCCATGAATAGCTCACTTTTACTTGGACCTAGGGCTTTCAGAGGTTTTAGGGAACATTTTCCCTGACACAGCCACAGTTTCCCTGCATGAGGGCTTTGATGGAAGGGCTAGAAATTAGTTTCAGGCCCTGATAGCTTTGCCATGTGATGCCTTTTTCCCAGTGGGATACTCTGAGCACCCCGAGTGCCTGGAGCTGACTGGAGCTGGGACAGAGAGAGGAGCAGGGCTGTGGGTCACCACAGGGCACAGGAAAGACCTCGCTGGAGGCATTGACAGCGTGTGGCTCCTGAATGACCCAGAGGGATGGGCTGTGTCACAGACTCTTGTCTCGCATGGGGAAGCTTCTTGCTTAGTCAGTGCAGTAAAACCAGCTGGCACGGTGCCCCAGTGCTTGAGGGGTGCTCTGCCAGATGAAGTCTGGTCCCTGGGAAAGGCGAGGATGTAGCACATTCCATCAGGTTGGGATTCACCAGAGGAGGCTACTTTAATTGTAAAATCCCCCCTTGCCATCTAAAACATGCTGCAAAAGATGAAAACAACTGGTCCTGCTTCCCTTGGGTCTGTGCTGCTAGGCAGGCACAGCAGAGCCTCTGCTCCCTGCTGGAGAGTGGCCGGGAGTGCTCAGGGACACTTGCCCATGCTGGGTGAGCACCTCCCTGACCAGCTGCCAGAGCTGGTTCTGGAGACCAGTGAGATCTGCACTACCCAGCTTCTCCTCCAACACCACATCCTGCAGGTGCAGGATACGTCCCAGACAGCCCCATTGGGTGGCTGGAGGAGCAGCCAGAGCGTCCCTGCACTGGGTGCCAGGATGGTGTTGGGCAGCTCGAGCACTCACCTTGCCCCTGCCAGCCTGAGCAGTGACTTGGGGTTTCTTTCCCATCTCACTCTCAGCTCCACTACCAGCCTGGGGAAAAGTAAGCAGAGACAGGCAGACCGATAGGGCAGGCAGGAGGAAGAGCTGCAGAAGACAGTGTGGGAAAGGCTGTGCATCAGCTCCCAGCCAGGGTGACACCAGGAGAGTACCAGGTCCCTTCTCTACAGCCACCACACTGGGACAGCTGAGGGCTGGTGAGACCCACTGCCCTTAGCCAGGTGCTCAGCGGGAAGAGCCCACTACACATCCACAGCCCTAAGGCTGGGTGCAATTTTTTTCCTTCCACGATTCCCTGATCTACAACATTAGGCTTTGCTGTGAGCATCACATTCGCCTTATTGCCATGTGGGAAGGGCAGGAGGTTCCTGTGCTTTCCCAGGAGCACTCTCATACCCATGGAGCCTCATTGCCTTATACCAGACCCAGTGTGTGGGAGAGGCCAAGGCACGCCCAATGTCTCAGACTACTCTGAACACTTCCACAGGGAAAAGGATAGATTCCTGGAGGGTTGCACTGCTAGATCCCAGGGGGTCCCCAGCCCTTTCATCCTCAGAGCAGGCAACCCCACACAATTAAGCTGTCTTTTCCAGGGCACAGCGGGATGATGGGAGCATCCTCATGTCCCCAGGTGGGGCAGGGATGGGACTGGGAGCTGCAGTGGCAAGACCAGCCAGAAACACCCCCCAGATGGGTTGTGCTCTGCCAGCTTCCCCTCTTCAGCAGAATTTCATTTGCTCATGTGGAAAATCACAGCTGAGCTGGAGACCCGGTGACATTGTCATGGTTGCAGATTTGCAGAGCTCTGCTGTGCCTGCTGACAGGGGCACTGTGCCCAGCATGCCCTGGGAAGGAGCTGGGAGCCATATGGAGCAGGACCGTTGCTGCTGCCTGGCACTGGATGCAGGATCTGGCAGGGTTCTCTCCCACAGCAGCACCGGGAGATGAGAGCAATTGAAGGTGCCTCTTGCTTGAGCTCATCCTCCCTCCTCCGCCCTGGGAACATCTTAAGATCATGGCCAGGCTGCTGCAGCCCAGGTTGCACAATCCCGGGTCCTTTGTCCTTTGTTTATCTGTCTTATCGAGGAGGAAAAGATAACCAGGCATCTTCAGTGCCCTGCAATCAGCACATTTCTCAGGCTCGTAACTCCTCTTATCAGGCTGATCTCTCACCACGGCTGAGGTTTCCCATGCACCTTTGTACTCCAAGAATGCTCCCAGGTCTGCTTCAGCCCTGTGCAAAGCCTGGACGCTGTGAGCTTTCTCCCAAACACCCCAGCCCAGGCTGAGGCCAAGCCCCCGCACGTGGTTGCGATGGCGCTGGGTGCAGCTGGCGCAGGGCTCAGTGCTGGCACAGGCCTACCAGACCCAGGGCCTCTCCGGAGGCAGCTGGAGCTGCCAGGTCCTCACCTGAGCCAGCCTGGACAGGCACATGGCTCCTCGTCCCAAGGTCTTGGTTCAGGCTGGGTTGACACAGAGGGACCTGGGCAAGAAACAGGGCCTGGGGAGCAAGATTTTGGGCAGAAGTACTTGGCACCCCTGGGAAGCTGGGCTTACCAGCCAGCACCCTGACACTGAAACCCTGGGGGTGCCCAGGGCTCACACATGTGGGGACGGGTTGTTTCCAGCCAAATCAGGGCTGTGTGGGCTGGGAAAGGGAAATGGGCACTGGTTCAAAGAAGGTTTGCCCTGATCCTGCTCTGTCCCAGATTTCCAGGCCCTGCTGTTCCCCTCCATCCTGCCGTGATGGGTCCCAGTGCTGACCCAGCACTCCGGCATTGCAGCCAACAGAATAGGTTGTAGAGACTACAGGTCACCGTGTCACCATCACAGAGGCCTTTCAGTGTGACCTCCACAGTGCTAAGGGACCCTCTGTGGGTGGGGGTGTGCATCCCCTCATCCCTGCCATGTCCCTCCCATTGGGCTCAGCCCCCCCTCCATGGGCAGGACCTCACAGTGGGGCACATGGAGCTGTGACTCCTGCCCTGTCCCTGCCTTGAGACAAGTCACCTTGCCCCTCACAGCCTGCCTGTGGCAATAGTTCAGAGTTCATGTGGGACCACCAGAGTGACGACCTGCAGCTGTGGGGTCTGGGGTCCTGGATGCTACTGTGCCCTTGGGGCTCTGTGTCCCCTGGGGTGAAGAGACTGTGAGTTCCCAGGCACCAGAGCCCATGCAGTGCCCGGAGTGTGAGATGTGCCTTTGGCAGGGCTCTGCCTCACTGTCTTGGTGCTGGTGGCTGGGGACTGAAGGAAGAGGATCCATTCCAGGCCATAGGGCTCCTGCTGCACCCAACCTTGTGGAACGTGGGGCCGCCCGGCTCTGGGGCACATGGCAATAGCTTGAGCACAAAGCAGGCTGCTACAGAGGTGAGATCCCACTGCTGAAGGTGGCCTTGCTCAGCCCAGGGTGTGTTGTCCTTGCTCATCTCTGATGCAGAAATACTGTGTGCCCCTGATGCAGGAATGGGATTAATTCCCATGGGCGAGCAGGGGTGGGCGGGAGGTGGCAGTGTGAGTGGGCAGCACATCCTAGGCCAGGAGGAAATGGCTCTTGTGCTGAGCAGGTCTGCCTGGTTGCGGACAGTGCTCGGGGATAAGGATGATCCTCGCTGCCCGTGGAGCTCTGCAGCACTAACACGTGTGGGTGCTCAGCCGCAGGGTGCTGGGGGGCTACAGGGCTCAGCCTGCCCATCCGGGTTCTGTCATCCCCGGGGTGACCCAGGCAAGAGGCAAAGGGGTTTTTATTTTCAAGATGTTTTATAACAGGATTATTAGTTCCCAAGAGGTGTTTCGAATCGATTTGGTAAGGAATGGCTTTCCTTTCTCCTCCACGGGTATACAGTGGAAATCCAGCCTTTGGTGTGAACCTCAGAGAGCTCTGGAAGCTGGGGATCTGACAAACTCCCTGCATGTTGAAAGGACATACTGAGCTCCCTGTAGCCCCATGCACCCCACACATGCCCTTTGCTCCATCTCCATCGTAACTCCAGGGTGTGCAGCAACCAGGAGAGCTGGGCTGCAGCCCCAGGGGAGCCGCAACTCCTCCGGGGAGGGCTCTGCCTGTCTCAAAGGGGAGAAAAAAAATTTCCTTCAAAAAATCCCCCTTTTCTCCAGGAAACCCCCATTTTTCTTGGGGGTCCAACCTTTTCCCAGTGCAGTTTTCCCATGTGCCCGGCTGGTATCCTGTGCCTGGTGCCTAGTGGCCCTTTAACCACGGCAGTAAGGGGAGTGCAGGCATCTTCAAAAGCCCTGGGAAGAATTTGGTGGGAGGGGGAGAAGGGGTTTTACAAGCTCCCATTCAGAAATGGTCACTTTGAAGTGATGTAGCATTCTCAACCCTTTGAAGAGCCACAATTAGGAGGGGGCTGGTGCAAGCAAAGGCAGAATACAGGGTGACCATCACAGCCTTTCTCTCCCCAGGCTTTTAAGGGATGAACTTTCCCTCTCTGCCTGCCTTTTTCCCACGAGCCCAGGAGGGTGGGATTGGGGTGTTTGGGGGAGCTGGAGGTTTCTCATCCCCTGTGCAGGGAAGAAGGAGTCTGCCATTGGCTTTGCCCAGCAGCGGCAGGGCAGCAGAGGGAGCATGTTGGAAGGGAGAGCAAATTGCTCAGGACCCCTGCAGGCACACAGAGTGTTGGTGTTCCAGTGCTGTGTCCCGGCCAGGGAATTCTTTAGGCTCCATGATGAGGAAAGTTGTTGTCCATGGGTGCTTAGTGCTGGTAGCATCATTTCTGTTATGGTTGGATCTAAAAGTCTCACCTAAGGCTGATGTCCCTCCCTCCAGGATCATGTGCTCGAGAGCGGGGACAATGAGAGAAAAGGGTGCCCAGGCAGAGGCCACCCCGTGTCACCATGTAGCACAGGGCAGAGGGAGGCAGGAATGGGGCAAGGACAGAGCCCCTGCTCCTGCCATGGGGATCTGCCATCTGCTGACAGGCTTTGTCCTAGAGGAATCCCTGGGAAATGGGCTCCTCCTCTGTGTACCTGCTCCAGCTGTCTCAGGAATCTCCCGAGAGCAGCCTGGGTGCTTCACCACTTGCCAGAAACTGGAGAAAATGGGAAATCAAGGTCACTGTTTTCCCTCTAAGGATGGATGCCACTTTCATGTCTGAAGCAGATGCAGGAGATGAAGGAAAGCCCCATCTACAAGTGGGGCCATGGGGCACTTGGCCAGGCCACAGCGATGGTGAGCCTGACTCTTGCCCAGTGGCTGGGATGGGGCTTGGGGCTGCTTCCCCTCGTGCTGTGGCAGCAGATCAAAAACTTGTGCCACTCATGAGTGGTGTGGTGGTGCAGGGCTGGTCTGCAAATCCACCCTGAGCACATCTCCAGTGACAGCCGTGACCCTGAGGGTGGCTATTTGTCTTTTGGGAAACAGAGGTGACTGTGTCCCACCAACTCCATCTGGTCATCTCCTCTGGGGAGGTGTGGAAGGGCTGGGGGGGGGCTCTGGGAAGCACCCCTGAAACGGGGGCTGGTGTGAGCTGAGCCTTCCACACCCCTTCTGGGCTGCAGCTCTTTCTGCTCCAGTAGTGGTAGGTCCAGACCCTTCTGGACAGCCATGGGGCGGTTCTGCCAGGATGGGGTGGCTCTGCCAAGATGAGATGGCCATTTCAGGGTTGTCCTCAGCCTTGCTTTCCCTCATGATAATCCCAGCATATCCCAAGCTCTTGACAGCTTTGGGACGCAGGGAAGAGCCAGCCAGGAATGCTGGTGTCCCTCTCTGTCCCAGGTGGCTCCCGATGGGGTCCCTGTGATCCTGGAAAGGGCAGGCTGGACACCCCAGAGCTGGCACTGGAGTGATGCGGGATGCCCTTTGTTGTCTTAGTTGGTGCCTGGACAGGACAGTCTCCCCCTGCCAAAACTGAGTCATCCCATAGCAATAACTGCAGCCTGTCCCCAGCTACCAGGCATCCTGATGGATGGGAGGCAGCTCAGCCCTCAGCTTCTGCTGCCCGGATCCAGCGACGTGCCGTGTCCCTGCCGCAGGTGTGAGAGCCTGCACCGAGCTGCCAAAGCTGCCGGGGGGGTGTGGTACTGGGTGTGCCATGGAAATGATCCCCCCATGCTGGGGGCATGCAGGAACAGCTCGTGGGTCATGGCCCCACATCACACCCCACAGCGTCCCTTGTGGGACACCCCACGGTGATGTGTTTGTGGTGGGAGATGGGGGGTCACGTATGGGAGATGAGGAATGAGGCCACAGATACCCCAAGGCGTCGTGTCCATGAGCAGGTCAGGAGAGTCATGGGTGTCATGAACAGCACAGACAGCTGGGAATGATGGTGATGGTTTAATTTAAACAGCAGTAAGGGCAACCTTGCTGTTGGTTGTCCCATAACACAACCATGGGTGGGGGGCCCAGCCCAGCTTGGAGAACAGCCCTGCCTGACCTGCGACAGGGAGGAAAAACCATTGCACCCAGTACAGCAGCAGCACTGGTGCAGTTACCAAGACTGGAACAGATCCCAGGACACGGCAGAGGTGCCACACTCAGGGCAGGGAGTTGGTGGATGCAGGTGACCGCCCCTTCTCCCAAATTCATGGGATGCTCCTCCTTGGGATGCAGGATAGAGCCTGGACCCCCTGCAGGTATGATGGGCCCCTCACAAGGGTCGCTCACATGGATGAACACAGACTCTGCTAATCACAGCAGTGGCTGATGTCATGTGCTGTCTCCTCTCTCCACAGTCTGCCCAGGGAGCCAGCTGTGCGATGTCACCGTGCCAGCCCGTGACACAGCCCAGCCCGGCTGCACTGCGCACAGAGAGCAGCCAGAGGAGCTGGAGCAGCGAGGGGCAGATGCAGTGCTGGGGGGAGGCACAGTCCTGCAGGTCGATGCCATCCCCCCCGGGGTGCTGGACAGAGCTGAGCTCACCGACTTCTACTGCTGCTCCTGCTGTGGGAAGGTGTTTTGGGAGGGGTCCCATTTTGGACGTGTCGTGTCCCAGTTTCGGGATGTTCTTGTGGCCTCGGGGGATGCACAAAGCGTCTATGAGCTGAGCTGAGGGAGGATGCAGGGGCTTGACAGTGAGACAGGGAACTACACAAGGAACCTCAGCGGATTTTGGGCCATGGGTTTGCAGTAAGAGGCTGGAAGCAGGGGGGCTCTTGTTTTGGGATCCATCATGGAGCACTGTCACAGTTGCACTAATGGTTTGCAACAGCCAAAAAATACGTGGCCTCTATGTGATCATTAAAGCGGAGGTAGCCAGGGAATGAACCCTTTGCTTTATTTCTGCCCCTCTCCAGGCTGGGCATGGCAAGAGGGTATCAGAGCTCTCCAAACCAAAATCACCACCAGTGCTGACCCCATGGCACCCTCGCCCCAGTGCCCCTCTGCCTGGTCACTCATGGTGGGGACCCAGGAGCTGCGTCCCCAACAGCAGCACAGGGGAGAGCATCTCCAGTGCCTGGAGTGCTCCCAGCTTGTGGGACATGTGCCACACCACAACCAGTATCCTGCTCACCCTGATCCTGTTCTTCCAGCATTCCTCAGAGGCGATCAGTAGGTGCAGGAGTCCCCGGAGGGCTGAGCACTTCTGGGGTCAGGGAAATCTCCGGGTGCACCACGATACCCACTGGCATCCACATCCACCTGTGCTGGGATCTGAGATGCCCCAGCAGAGCCAGGCTGGTCCTGGGGGGTCCCAGTGGTGCCAAAGCTACAGCCGCCTGCCTCCCTGGGGTGGTCCCTCAGGGCACCCACGTGCCTGAGGCTTCTGTGTGGAGGCAGCAGGACTGTCAGTGAGGCATGTGGTCCCACCACCTCAAGCAACCAGTGTCACTGGTGGGACTGGCCAGCACCCAGAGGAGGCTGCACAAGCTGTGGAGATCCCAAGAGAGGCGAGGAGTCCAGACAGGCCTGTCCAAAGCTCCAGGCACTTCTGTTGGGTGCCTCCAGATCCAGGGCCAGGCTCACACCACTTCACCCTACAACAGAGGAGTGTTTGCAAAACTTCCCTTCTAATCCAGGTTAACTTCCAGGCCCTGCTGTTATTGCTGAGAGGGCCCGAGGTGCTCTTGGCTGAGGTGTGACATTTTTGGGCCAGGGAAGCACCTGCCCTGCGGGACTCACTTTCCCTCTTCCAGAGCTCCTGGTCACACAGTGCCAGGGGGTCCTTCCCCCCCACAAGGGACATCTCACCCTCCAGTTCAACGTTTTAAGAAAAAAAAATAATTTTTCCACTTTTAATATCTCTCTTTCCACAAGACCCTGTCTGAGCATTAATTAAGTGACCCTGAAACATGACTGTACCTACACTGTGCCCATCCTCACTCCCTAGTGGTCCTAGGTGAGTCCTGACCATGGACATGACCCTCTGGTGACACTTTCCATGGCCACAGTGTGTCATTTTGTCCCTGTTTCCATCAGAAGATGGTAGATAATCCCTGTGCCCACCCCACTGTCCCCATCTATCTCACAGCCCTGCCACAGCTACCCACTGCCCCTTGATTGCTGCCATGGAGTTTCATCCCTGTCAAGTGGAAGCATAAAATAACAGCATCTCCTTCACCAGTGATGAACAAAGTCGAGGTGGACACCAGTGTCACCACCTCAGCATGCACCACTGGCCCTGCACATGAAAGGTTTGGACCCATTTTGGGAGGACAGGGATGCTAAGCCTGGCCCCTTGCCATTGGGACGCACAGGGGTGAGAGTCAGCTACAAGATCTGTGTTTCCCAGGAGATTTGGGGGGGGTTATTCCCTCTTTCCCTACACTTGGCTGACAGAACTTGGAGAGAAAGCCTCCTCCATGGCTGAGAATCACCATCATCATCATCACAGCAGTGTCTGCCAGGGAGTGGTCATGTGTCAGCAAGAGCCCCAGCCTCAGCCACTGCTCTGCCATGGAGTGATAGACATAGGGATCACACCTCCTGCTGCCAAGGCTTTGGCTGTGTGGGGGTGCTGGGTTTGAGGCATTTCTTAAAAGGCTCCATCTGCTCTCCTCTCCTTTTCCTCTCCTCTCCTTCCTATACAGTCACAGACAAGGAAGGCCACATCTGTTCCCTCTGATCCCCTGGCCCTGGGGTAGGGTCTGGCCCCATGGAGCCCCCACAGCCCAGCCTTGCCATGGCACTGCCCAGGTGCCCCAGGACCATTCATTGTCCCAGGCCAGTGGGTGCCCAGCACTGGAGCTCACCAGCCAAAACCAGTCTTTGAGCAAAACCTTCCCTCACCACCACCTTCATCCCTCCTTTCCTATCTCTCTTAGTTTATGCTGGAGATGGCTGCTGCTCCTAGAGATGGGCAGAAGAAAAACAGGGATTTTCCCACTTGACTGGAGGCTCCTGGACCCTGGCACACCTTCTTGAATGTGCAATGACACCTCCAGCCATGGGGATTATTTCTCCTAATGGGATTAAAATGTCTGCTGCTCATCTTGTCCTCCATGGCTGTCCATCCACTCTTTCCATTTTTTTTGTCTTCTCAGCTGTCTACATTTTTTGCACATAATCTTGAAGCAATTGTCTTTCACTTACTTGTTTTCCAGCCCTGTGCTCTCTCTTGGTGTTAATGTGTTTTTCTTAATTCCCTCTTCATCTAAAATGGAAATGTCCCCTTCACTTTTACCCCCAGGTCATTTTTATCATGTTTCTGGTACAACAGCTTTGGGCCAGGCAGTAACAGCAGGGGACAAACTGGCACCATCGCATGTACCTGGCCTGGTATGCTGGCAACTGCTTGTGGGCCTTCTGGTCCTGGAAAACTGGCACATGGAGGGACCAAATATCTGCTCTGTTGGTGATGTTACAGTTGGTTGGAGACAAAGACCCTGGTTTTATGTGCCTTGGACCAACCTCCGCACCTCTGGGCCACAATTACCTTGTCCTGAACCATCAGGGTGAGCTCCAGGACTGAATCCCATGTAAAAGCAGAGCTTTGGCACTAGGAAACAGCACTCATGATAACAGGTTTTCTGCCTCTATGTCATGGGCAGATGTTTACAAATTGTCCCCAATTCCTAATGGCAGCATGGGGCAGCTGAGGTCCCTCTGGCCTGAGTTGTATTTGGTGCTGTGACAGGACAGTGACCTTGCTTGGACATGGACACACTTGGATGGAGCTGCTCCCAGTATGCCAGCTGTAATCTCAGCAGTATGGGCCGTGGCATATGTTCTCAACCATCTGTGCCACCGACCCTGAAGCTCTCTATCTCTGCATCTCTCCATCCGTCTGTCCCTCCCCATCCCAGCTCAGGGGCCCGAAGGCTGCCTGAGACTGCCAGTACAGTGTTCTCCTTTAAGCCCTTCCCAGATTCCTCAAGTGTCCGGCCTGGGTGGCAGGAGCACATGGGATCCCCGCTGAGGAATCCTCAGCACCCACCTGAGGCAGCCACTGCCCAATGATTGCAGATGTTGTATCTGGCCCCTCGAGGACATCCTGCCACTCTCAGCCTTGGGCTGGTGCTCTGGCTCTGGGAGTTTTGCTGTTGTCCCTGTGTGTCCAGGTGATCTGTTCAATGCCTGGAAGCAGGATGTTCTTAGGTTCAGGTTCAGAACCCTTGATGCTCTGCCAAACATTGGCTCCTCCAGTGCATAGGCCACCTTCTTCCTGGATGCCACTGGAGTTGCCATGTCCTTATGGACCACCAAACCCCCAGCTCCCTGGAGCATGTGGGGACCTTAAAGAGTGTCCTTGGAGCAGGGGGTGAACGAGGCTCGTGCTTTGCCAGCAGCCCCTCTATGCCAGCCACTGGTGAGAGGTACCAGTGGTGAGCAAGGGACTGCCCACACCAGAGGCTGAGCTGCCCAGCCCCCTGGGCTCCATGCAGACTCAGCCATGTGTCAGCATTCTGCTTCTTCAGGAGTTGTTCTGGGATGGCAGAAACTGGGGATAAGGCAAAGCAGGAATGATCAGAGCCTCCCGTTGCTGGCCCGTGTGGTGAGCGGTGCTTTGTCATGCTGTGGAATGTTCATCCAGAGTGGGACGAACCTCTCCAGAATGGGATGAACCTGTCCAGACCCCATGTGGAGGAAGCTGCTGAGTCACATGGACATCTGACCACCCATGGGCACTTCTGGCCTTTGCTTACTGGGTTTTCCAGAGCTGTGGTTTCATATCTGTCTGCCACCCCTTTCACTGCAGAGGGGAGCTGGTGGGAAACAGGGACACATGGCCCTGTCCCTCACCTGGGGGCAGCTGCCTAGAAGAATGCTTTCCCTTCTGAACCCTGGGGACAGTAGGGTCATGTTCTTGACACCTCCCGGACTTTATCTGCCTGTCAGCTCCATCGATTTTGGGGAGAGCTTTTGTGTTTACAGCCAGGGCTGTGCTAGGGCAAGATCACCACTGTGGGACTTTTTTTAGGAGACCAACCCAGGGCAGACACCAGCAGGTCATGTGTACCTGTGGACATGGCATGAAACAGCTCCCAGAGGGTCCCATCCAGCTCCTGGGGACAGGGGTGGCAGCTGTGACCCAGCACAGCACCTCTCCCTTCCTGCTGCCCACAGGAGGTGATGCCGTGGTGGGATCTGTGCAGCAAGGTCACCTCCAGTCATAGACACAGTCAACAGCAAATTCCACATCCAATCAGCCTTGAGGAGCATCCAGGAAGTAATAAATCGTCCAGTTTTGAATGGTGGATACAGATCAAAGGGAATTAAAGGAGCTTTTTAATCAGCCAACAGTATTGTTTCCCTATCTGGCTGCTTAAAAAAGAGATAATTACAAAATCCCATTGTCTGTGTCATACTAATATTTAACATTTATTAGGGCAGTAATGAGCCCTCCATGCTTGTATGGAGCCATTTGATCCTGCGTGGGAAGGGCAGCCCCAGCAGGGATGGGGTCTCTGGGTGGGCTCCAGGAAACCATCGATCCCCCAGGTGTTTCACCCGTGCTTAGCTCCTGCCCTTGCATGGCAGGATGTGATCATGGGGGGGACCCTGGAATAAAGCAGCACTGGAGAAGGGTTTTATTGCTCATGAATGAGACCTGACTGAACAGCATCCATCCCTCAGCCCTGGGAAACCACACGCTGCATCGGATGTCAGAAGGTTCCTCTCCTCTCCTTGTGTATTCCTGCACGTCCTTTGGAGCTTGATGGGGACAAGGTGTTTGACGCTCAGGCCAGCTTTAGTTTACAAATGAATATATCAACATTGTTCCTCATCAGGCAGGAATGCACTTCCCTCCCTTCTCCTCCACCTTATCCCCATCCCCTTCCGAGCAAACTTCCTTCCTCCAGTAATCTGGAGCGGAAACCTCGCCGCATATTTGACCGGCTCACAGAAACCAGCTCAGTTTTCCCTGGCGTGACTTTGTGCCTTGAACTAGTGCTCGTCAATCCCTAAGGCAGCTGGTGAGGCAGGGGAGGAGGAGAAGGATGAGGGCTGTACTGCTGCCCATCCTCATCACGGAGCCGCTCTTCCAGCCGGATGCTCCAATTGAGCTCCCAGTTGCTTGGCTGCCGTTTTCAAACA